GACATAGGCGATTCCTTGTATTTCTATGGAACCCGCACGGGTGTGCCGGTTCCCGAGTCGAACCGGGCTCGCCAACTTTTCAATCACTACAGTAGAGCATATGAAAAATCGATATTTTATCAAAGATGCAGCAAACATAGTCACTTTATAATGGGAAAACTTTATATAGAGCCGAGGTCCTAAACAATCAACTTGGAGCCTACCACAAAAATTTCACTAGAAGAGGTTGTTTTGATGCCCAAATGTCCTTCAATTAATCATCTCAACATCAAGATGTATGGACATGAGAAAAAAATGGATTTCAAGTTTTGGAAATAGTGTATTTTGTAACACATTTTTGGACCGTCAATTTTCAAGATTTTTAAGATTTCATAGATTTGTCAATCTACACTATTTTTTAAGTTTTAAATTTTATAAATAAAAATGAAAATACATTTTAAGGCTGTCACAAAGATTTCCAGTTTTGAAACTACATTTATTGATACTATTTGAAGGTCGGGTCTCATTTGATTGTTTAGAGCCTAGGATCTATACAAACCGCACCCCGTTATAATTGTTATTTTTTCTTCGGAAAAATATCGTTCAAGGGATTAAAACTTTCTATATATTTATTAAGAAAGCCAAAACATCTCAATAACACCATAGGGCATATTTTTTAATTTTCATTTTACTCTAATACTTCCTCAAAATATATCTTCAAAAGTACCTAAATTGCACATCTTCAGAGTTGGGAACTTAGAACATAGGCATATCAATTGTGTTTGACCCACCTAAGAGATGATAGCCATATGGGATCATTTACAAAGAGACCATTTATCTTTTATTACGGGGAGGTCACAACTATTCCACTCATTAGATGTCAAACTAGCTTGAAGTGGGTAACAAAGTTTGAGATTCTTTTTTTTTTTTTAGAATTTTGTATCTAAATTCAGAGATGCTCTTACTAATAGAAACAAAACTCCAAAATTTCAGTTTTTAGAAAGGCCACAATAGAAAACTGAGATTTTGACATTTTGTTTCTATTAATTGCAATCACCCAATTTGAAATTTAAGAGACATGAATTGTTGTGACCTTCTTGTACAAAAAGAAAAAAGTCGCTTTGTATATTTTCCTACCATATTGGTCAAGACAAGCAAGTTAATTGGGAAGGTGACACGGTAGATTGGGAAGACATAGTCTCCATCGCGGCCACATCTGCCTCTGCCTTCGGTGGTCCTGAGGAGTATGGGGACATGCTATGTCGCCTGCAGGAGAAAGGTAGCATAGAGTTTGAATGAAACAAAAAGTATAATTGAATAAGAAAATAGTCAGCATAGCATAAGTAAACATAAAAAACACGAAAATTAGGATGACTACATGGAATAGAAGTTTGAAGAATATTACTATTTTCCTTTTCCGTGAATAAAGTTATTATCTTGCCTCTATTGAGTGATAACTGATAAGTGTCAAAGGAACCATTTGATTTAACTTGGGCCTATTTGAAAATTTGTAGCAAGGGCTATTTGATTTTGATTCCCAACTATAGTAGAGCTCTCAAATTGATTTTTTATAAATATGGCTCCAAGTTGTTTTTCTTTTAAGAAAAATCATTAAAATACATGTAAACTTATCGCGTATTTAACATTTAATAAAAGATTTCATCATCCTGAGGGAACACACTTTCTATTTACTCCCAAGAGCGAAACCCAATCCAGAAATATTTTTTGGACCCATATTTTGGGGATATTACCTCTTCAACCTACATGTTAAATACAATAAATTTTTTTTCAGGTGGCATTCTCTATGGGTTTGGAACATAATAACTCAAGATTGACTAAAAACCGTTTAATTTTTTGAAGTGAGATCTAAGTGTTAGAAAATTTAAGATTGAAATTTCTTCTTTTGAACATAACCATCTACATACTTTTCAAATTTTCAAATAAAAATAAAAATAAAAAATCTACCCTTCAACCTGAGGAAGTAAATGTACCATATGCTCCCTGAGAACCATAGCATAAGTGCTATTTCCGATTTCAACTGTTCCAATTTCAATCTGGCAATTAAAGGCTATACGAGCAGTTTAGAAACTAATTCCCGTATTTCAATCTCGCAATTAAACGAGGGAATACATAAGTTAAACAAAAAAACTTATCAAATTACCTAGAGACTAACAACCTAACACTCTACTATATTTTTTATTCATTTTTAAATGGAAAAAGTTTATATAAGGATGCAACTTTATATTGTAGAACTACAGATGCACCTCAAAAATCCATAGGAAAATGTAGTTTTAATGTTGAAAAACCCTTTGATTGGTCATCTCGACATCGAGATGTATGACCATGAAAAATAAAAAGATTTCAAGTCTCAGAAATACTTCATTTTACAACATATTATCTGCACTGTCCATTTTTCAAGATTTTTATATGTTTGCAGATCTACTCGATTTTTACCATTTTTGAAATTTAAAATTTGATAATTAGCTATAAAAATAGATTTTGAGATAATCCTAAGAACGTTTTACATCAAAAATATATATCATGATAAAATTTGAATGTGCACCTTACCTCTACAGCTACGGATGCATCCGTATGCCAACTGCACCCTTTTTAAATACCTTTCAAATGGATAAATTTTTTTTTTTTGAGTAAATAAATAGATAAAATTTTGAATAGTTAATCATTTATAGGTATTTTGACAAATTTCCTTAAAAAAGAGTCAACGCACTTGTCCCCGTATCTTTTCAAGAAACCATTGAAGAGATTGCTTTCTTGCAACAGGAAGATCTTCAAGGGGTAACAATGAATGAATGTCAGCCTACTAATTAACCACGGAGATTTTTAGGAAAATGAAGGTCAAATTAACTTAAACGGCTAAACGAGGCATAAAAAGTCAATAATTTTCCACAAAGAATGAAAATCTTACCGGTTGGGAACTTGTAAATAGATGGTGTTATAGATAGGTGAGATTCCCTAACCATGGACGAGGCCTTTCCAAAATTAGGATTTTCAATATCACTGTCTGGCTTTGTTGAACAGTGTGATCCAGCAAGAAGCATCACAGCTTGTGCCTATTATAATCAAACTACACCGTCAAAAGGCATTGTTACACAAAGATATATATCATGTCGAGAAGATTGAAGAGGTTTCCTTTGAATGCAGTCCCTTTCCAAAATCATTCTAGAGATGGATTTAGGATATGAAAAAACAACTTAAGCCATTTTAGATATAATTTTACTTTGGATTCAATTTTGCAGCTAAAAAAAAAAAAATTGCGAATCTATTGACCAGTGAAGAATTAAAATGAGCAAATGATCATCGGTCCAGAAACAAAATCTAAAATATTAAATAAATTCAGTAATTTGACAGTTTACCTTCTATCAACTATTCTAAAATATGATAATATGTCTTTCAATGGGTTTTTTTGAAATTAAATAAAAAAGGGTAAGTGTATTTTGATAAATTTACTTTTTGAAATTCAAAATCTATTTTTCTAATATTCATAATTGCTGTGGTAGAGATCTAAGACTTTCAAAATTGTAAGTCCAAAATCCAACTCTAAATGGATTTTTGAAGGAGACTGCGTTGAATAGGAGCCGACAAAATCCGAATTCTATACCATATTAGTGTAGCAGAGATCGTTCATGAATTCCCAATATCATCCAATATTTCAAAGGATGAAATTCTATCTTTCAGAAATTTATTTCTTCTTGGTTTGTTTTTTTGTTACTATAATTTGTTATTTAAATATTTTTTATTTTAAGTAGTAGTTCTTTTGAATTATCTCAATGTTTTAGAGAGGATAATATAGAAGCTGATGCTTTTAGCAAAGAGGGGTGTGAACCAACATTTATTAGTGGTTACATCATTTTCTTCTCGAACTTCCTTGTAATCAGTTCATGGGTGAATGAAATTCATAATAACTTATTTGAAAAAAGTATATTATTAAAAAGATTGGCTGCTCTCATGAAAACATATTGTCCATTTGCTCCCTTAGGTAAAACCAAAGCATGGAGTATTTTCAATACCCCGCGATTTGAGGTAACTTCTCGAACCTAGCAACCAACTTCAAACAAAAATGATTACAGTCGTACACTCCATGAACTTGCAAAAAAATTTCTCCAGATTGAAGGATTGTCAATTTTTTTAAGGGAGGGATCCTAGTGCTAAAAAAAGATTTAAAATCCAGTTAACTTTTCGAAAATAATCATGTAACAATTCTTAGGTGGATCTCAAAATTTTAAATAAAAAAAGTCGCCCAAAGTAGTAGCTCTTTGGTCAGAGGGAGATAATATACTGTGTATGCTCCCTTGGGAGCATGATATACCCTTGACAATTGCTGGTACGCTTAATTATCACCTGGAGCATCTGTTCCAGATTTTAAGTCCTCGTTCGCGGAAGGAACTGTTGTTCATCTCCACGGTTCACTGATCAATATGTATGGTGGATGGCGGGTCCGAGTAAATTGCACATATGCTATTCCATCTATCATATGTTCACAAGAGATATTTCAGAATGTCATGAGGAGGTTGGGAAATTTTTAAGTTGGGAGAGAATATCTGAAAATGTGATCCTCGTGAAGAAAGGGGGGCAGCCATCCCCTTTGTTTGGTTAAATTTTAAATGCCACACCTTTGTACTCATTCATCTACTTGTCCATGGTTGAGACCATGATACATATTTAAATGCTGTCCCCTCATAAATCATCCAGAAATTTTGGCCCATTTATTAAATATCATATCTGACCATCACAACATGTTGCGTAATGGCTGTTATGAAAGAAATGTGTCATTATTTAAAGTGTATATAGTGTTTTAAACCCCTGGAAATTTACCTTTTCAACCTGTTCGACTAAGTTGGGAAAAATTTTAAATATATTTCAAATCAAAAGCTATTATTTTCATTTTATTTGATTGTTTTCAAATTAATTCAATTGGTTCGACCAGCAGTTATACCAGTTTTAACTTTTTATTGTTGTCATATAATTCAATTGATTCGACTAGCGGTTGTACTAGTTTTGACTGGACTAACCCCCTCACTATTTTGGTAGCCGATCCAATCCTGATAATACTGACATAGAGCCATACAGATGACAGAAGTTCCATATGAGATCATCCACGGTCCAATCAACGTTCGTTAGTCTCATTTTCTAGAAGCCTGAAGTTACTCATCAATGAGCAATTTCTGGATCAATACTTGATATAAAAATGTCTTTCTTTCTTCTGGTTATGTTGGCTAAGGGATTCAGATCTTGAAATTTTCATCATATGATTGAAGGTTTGCTATATTATACACATGCCAGCTTCTGTAACCTTGGTACATAGCCCTCCAACTTCAACTGTTCTGAGATCTCATCCAAAATCAAATATATTTCTTTGGATTGAGGGTGGGACTTATCTTCAACCAAGAATTCATGAAACTTGCCTTCAAGCTCAACAAAACTAGAACCAGGAGCCTTTTTCACTCCATTCTCCCTCATCATTCTTCTCACTCTCTTCACATCATCCCATTTTCCCTTGGAAGCATAGATGTTAGCCAAGAGAACATAAATCCCACTATCACTAGGGTCCAACCTTATCAGGTTTTCAACTGCAAGCTCTCCTAATTCTACATTGCCATGCATTCTGGATGCACTCAAAAGAGCACCCCAGCATGCTACATCAGGCACCATGGGCATGCTCCTCATCAGCGAAAGCGCCTCCTCCAACAGCCCAACCCGACCAAGCAGATCGAGTATACATGCGTAATGCTCGGTCTTAGGCTTGATACCGTGAACTCTTTTCATGCTGTCGAAGTGTCTTCGACCTTCTGTTATCATCCCACTATGACTACATGCCGACAAGACCCCCACAAATGTTATGTCATCTGGCTTAACTCTCGTGGCCACCATCCTATCAAACAGGCCTAAAGCTCTGATGCCGTCGCCATGCATGGCACATGCCATGATCACCGAATTCCATGAAACCACATCCCTCTCAGCCATCTCCTCAAAAAGCTTGCTAGCATTCTCTATGCACCCACATTTCGCGTACATATCGATTAGGGCATTGGTTAATATGACACTCAACTGCACTCTCTTTTCTTCCACATAGTGCCTATGGATCCATGAGCCGAGATCCAAGTCCCCCAACTGAGCACAAGCCGATAATGCAGCCACTAGAGACCCCTCTATGGGCACGACATTCTCCATGCACATGGCATGAAACAAATTCAGTGCCTCCCTCGGCCTGTAGGTTTGCGAATAACCAGAAATCAAGGCATTCCAAGTCACCTCATTCCTTGCCGGCATCTCATCGAAGAGCTCATGTGCAAGTTCCAACATCCCACACTTGGCATATCCATTAATCATGGATGTCCAAGAGAACACATCCTTGACGGCCATGCCATCAAATAATTCGCGGGCGAATTCGACACCACCACATTTTGTGTACATATCAACCAAAGAATTCAACAAATTCACTGTGAATTTGGTGCCAATTTTCATGGCATAGAAGTGAATCGATCTACCTAGCTCTAGTATTCCAATTTGAGAGCACGCAGATACCGCAGTGATCATGGTAACTTCATTCGATTCATAATTTCCTAAAACCATTTCGTAAAAGAGCTTCAAAGCCTCATCAGGGTTCTTATATTGGGAATATGCATCTATCATGGATGTCCATGAGACTACATCTCTATCACCCATTTCATCAAACACTTGACGAGCAACAACCAAATCACCATGTTCAGCATAGAAATGTATTAGTGCATTGTGAACCAATATATCAAATCCAAAACCCATCTTCAAAATCAAACCATGGATTTGCTCCCCTTCATCTAATTCATTAAACTGCTCACAAGCTTTGAGAACAAAGACCATGGTTCGATTCTCGACTGCGAGGCCATGACCGAGAATTTGATGAAAAAGAATCAAAGCTTCTACTGGGGAACTGGTTCTTGTATAGCCTCTGATCATGGTGTTATATATGAACACATTTCGGTCTAAAATTTGTTCGAATACAAGTCGGGCATGTTGCATGTTTCCATTCTCTGAAAGAGAGCAGAATGCAAGGACCCGACTTACAGGGAAACGATGGGTCATGAGGCCTTTCCTGGTCATGTGGGCTTGAATTTGCACAAGTTGATTCATGGTGGTGCATGATTCCATCAGAGAGAGAACGGGGTGGGATACGCATAGCTTTGAGTTTGAATTCCATGTGGGTGTATCAGAGGAAGAGCAAAAACGAGCCAAATGGATGAGAGAGAGGGAAGTTAGAGAGAGAAAGTTTGTGAAACGGCGATGAAGATTGGATAATTGTGAGAGGAGGGGCGTTGACATAGTCCTCCATCTAAACCCAACAACAACACGCATAAACCCATATAAATCATCTCTCTCACACACTTTTGTTTTTTGTTTTGTTTTTTATTTTTTGTTTTTTGTTTTTTTTGGTAGATGGCCCTGCCTATTTTTAGAAATAATTAATGATTTTTTAATGCATTTTTTTTTTATTAATGGTTTTTGAATGCGTACGGGGAAATGAAAACCTAGACAGGTATCTACCGCATAATTTTTAAAATAATTATTGATTTTCGAATGCGTTTTAGATTTTTAAAATAATTATTGATTTTCGAATGCGTTTTAGATGTGTAAGTTGGGAATGAAAACTTATACGGTAGCTGAGGCTGCCCATTTTTAAAAATAATTAATGATTTTCGAATGCATCAGGGACTAAAAACCTAGATCGATAGGTGGTGAAACTGAAGTGATGCTACCACCATGATCTCAACCCATTCCCTTTGTCTCTCTCTTGACTTCCTCTATTTCCGGTTACTTTTTTATACTTCTCCCAACTAAATAAAAGTCATATACTTCCCCTGCCACCGGTGTTGAGATGCCGCAATCATAATGTTATGCTTTTACATTATTTTATTTTTATTTTTTTACAAAACATTTTGACATCAAATTTTAAGCATCTCTTCTCTTAAACTCCCACAGGTAAAAAATATAAAAATTATATTTCTAATAAAATAAAATAAAATAACCAAAATGCTTCTGAAAATTTTAGAGATATATTGGTTATTATATTTTATCAAAAATATTAATTTTATGTGTACCCCATTGAGATGATGACACACATCAAATTTCATATTCATATAATTTTTAGAAACAAAACTAAAAGGAATGCTTAGAGGTGTCGGATCTAGATCAATCAGTGGTTTATTTGATCTAAATTAGGCGACTGGATGGGGGTATATATCTTTTATATAGTCGGGAAAGTATATATCTTTTAGGAAAAATATCTCTATATCCCTATTTTTAAATTTTATATCTCAATAAATCCAATATTTCAAAACATATTTTGAGTCATAAAAATTATAAGTTTTATATCTTTTAATCCCCTAAACTAACTTTATTCATTTTAAACCTATTTTTTTGCCCTAAAAAAATATAAAAAAGACATATCCTTTATAAACAATCTTTTCTCTTTTCACGAAATTATTTCTTAAATCTCTCTCTGTCACACCCCCAAGAAATTTTAATACCGATATTCTTGAGATGTGACAGTCCAAAACATATATACATCTCTTGATAGGACAAATTTACAGTGGCGAGGTCTTACAAGTAAATAAATAAAGCTAGCACAACAACAATATCTTCCAAGGTTGATCTTGACTAGCACTCAAAATGAATCCGCAGTTATCCTGAAAAAATGTTTACCATAGTTTGATGAGTTTGGCTACTCAATAAGTGATCATCATAATCCTAAAAATAATCATGGTTGAAAGATATCAATATTTTAAAAAAGAAGATCTATTAACAGAAATGCATCAACAGTTTCACTTTCAATAAATGCATAATTAAGTATAATCCGAATAATTGAAATGCACATAACACTTTAACGGCAGTGCATAATTCAAATGATTTCACAAAATACCCTACTGGCGTCCCAGGTAGGTCACCTATATACCCCATCAGCGTCCTGATGGGTTCACTTAATCCCTATCGGTCCTAGATAGATCCACTTAATCCCTGCAGGTCCACTTATACCTCACCGGTGTACCGGATGAGTCCACTTAATCCCTACTGACGTCCCGGGTAGGTCCACTTATACCTCACCGGCGAACCGGATGAGTCCACTTGCATACTTAAATTATTTCTAAATCTCTTTAAACATTCGAAAGCAGCAAATATCATGTACTCAACATATCACTGAAATCATTAATATGAATATCACTGACACCATTAATAACAGTCACTTTCAATAACATTTCAACCAATCAAATATTTTGGGCTCAAATTTGGAAAAGTAGCAGTTCGTAAAGACATTCTAACATAATTGCCAATCTAATATGTATAGAAAAACTCTTATAGAAATTCAAGAATATGGAATTATCACAATTTATGGGATGTTAATTTGTAATTAAACATTTCACAACAATACTGTAATCAA